TCCTCCTCTCTCTCTCTTCTTTCTCTCTCTTGACTCTCCCTCTTCTCTCCCCATCCTCTCTCTTCTCTCTCTTCCCCTCTCTTCTGTCTCTTCTCTTCTCTCTTCTGTCTCTTCTCTTCTCTCTCTTCTGTCTCTTGTCTTCTCTCTCTTCTGTCTCTTTGTCTCTCTCTCTTTTCTCTCTCCTCTTCTGTCTCTTCTCTTCTCTCTCTCTTCTCTCTGTCTTCTCTCTCTTCTCTCTCTTCTTCTCTCTCTCGTCTCTGTCCGTGGTGCTGATTTCTCTGCACATGTTTAGATTTAAATTCTCTACAGGAAACTCTGTGCGTCTCTTTTGTCTCGTTCTCGTCTTTTCCTCTTTTCTTTGTATGAGGTTCTGAAACTCCACATCACGCGCTCTGGACCTGGACCTGGACCTGGACCCGGACCTGGACCCGGACCTGGACTCAGACCTGGACCCGGACCTGGACCCAGACCTGGCCCCGGACCTGGACCCGGACCTGAGACAAAAAAGAAAAACAGAAGAGACACACAAACAGTATATGGAGAGAAATCAGCACCACGGACAGAGACAAGAGAGAAAAAAGAGAAGAAGAGAGAGACAGAGAAGAGAGAGAGAAGAGAGAGAGACAGAGAGAGAAAGAGAAGAGACAAGAGAGAAGAAAGAGAAGAGACAAGAGAGAAGAAAGAGAAGAGACAAGAGACAAGAGAAGAAAGAGAAGAGAGAGAGAAAAAAGAGAAGAGAGAAAAGAGAGAAGAAAGAGAGAAGAGAGAGAAGAGAAAGAAGAGAAGAGAGAAAAGAGAAGAAAGAGAGAAGAGAGAGAACAGAGGAAGAGAGAGAGCTGAAGAGAGAGAGAAGACAGGCAGAGACCAGAGGAGAGGAGAAAGAACAGAGAGAAGAGAGAGACGGGAGGGAGAAAAGAAAGAGAAAGTGGGAGAGAGATGGAGGGGAGAGTGGGAGAATAGAGAGAGAGAAAGAAAGAAAGAGGAGAGGCAGAGGGAGGGAGGGGCGGAGGGAGGGAGAGGGAAAAACAAAAACAGAGAGAAAAGAGAAAGGGGGAAGGAGGGAGAGAGAGAAAGAGGCGAAACCAGGAGGAGAGAGAGAGAAGGAGCAGAGAAAAGAGGAGAGGAGGAGAGGAGTCATTCATTCAGCTCGTTAGTGTCGGATGGAGAGATGCACAAAACGGAGGAGAAGAACTAAAAATAAAAACACGACTTTAAACCAGAACTGAACCAGGACTAAACCAGGACTGAACCAGAACTAAACCAGGACTAAACCAGGACTAAACCAGAACTAAACCAGGACTAAACCAGAACTGAACCAGAACTAAACCAGGACTAAACCAGAACTGAACCAGAACTAAACCAGGACTGAACCAGAACTAAACCAGGACTAAACCAGGACTGAACCAGAACTAAACCAGGACTAAAACCAGGACTGAACCAGACTAAACCAGGACTAAACCAGGAACTGAACCAGAACTAAACCAGACTAAACCAGAACTAAACCAGGACTAAACCAGGACTAAACCAGAACTGAACCAGGACTAAACCAGGACTAAACCAGAACTGAACCAGGACTAAACCAGGACTAAACCAGAACTGAACCAGAACTAAACCAGGACTAAACCAGGACTAAACCAGAACTGAACCAGAACTAAACCAGGACTAAACCAGAACTGAACCAGAACTAAACCAGGACTGAACCAGAACTAAACCAGGACTATTATTGTTATTACTATAGTTGTTTTAAATTAAATTATCATCACTATTTTACTTAGTCTCCATCTGATCTTAGCTCTCCATTTTCATTTTTACTATAACTTTTAAGAGCTTTATGTTTATGTTTTATGTTTCTGTTTAAATTGTTGTATTTCAAATGTATGAAAAGTGTATATAGTGTAAATAAAGTTTGATGGATTGATTGAAGTATTTTTTCTCAGTTTTACACTCTGGACAGTTCAAGTGTTTTGCCTCTGTCGGGCAGTGTAGTTCTGTGACAGTAACATGAAGAGCGCAGGGTACAGACAGTTCCTTAAATCAAACAGAAGAGATTTTCTTTGTCTCATTGGTCTCTGGAGAAACACTGCAGATGAATGAAATCTTGTTACGGGAAACCTGAAGATTCCTGATAGACCCATGTTACTGAAGAACAGGTTACAAAAGTCTAAAAAAAAAAACAACAACTCCTGATTACATAAAAATAAACACACACTCTTCAGACATAAATAAGGACATTTTAGCCTCTTTCTAAAAACGCTGACGCTCCAAACTTCAGAACCAGAACCACGGAGACAGACCCGCTTCACCTTCAGCTCCACGCTTCCCTCCGCGCGCACTGATGACGTTTAATGTTTACAACGAATGGGCCCTGAAATATGACGTCATTATGTAGTTCTGTCTCTCAAGAGGGTCTGGCTGCAGAAATATGACGTCATTATGTAGTTCTGTCTCTCAAGAGGGTCTGGCTGCAGAAATATGACGTCATTATGTAGTTCTGTCTCTCAAGAGGGTCTGGCTGCAGACACATGAATGTTTTTCAGTCTGTACATTTGATTTATGGTGAAATGTGCCGTTTATTTGGTGTCTCTTTTGATAGTAACTAAGTACATGTACTATAAGAATTGTACTGTAATAAAATAATAATGTAATAAATGTAATAAACTGTGGTGTTCCACATGATCATATCTGGCAAAGATAATTTGTTCATTTTTGATTGTCACTTGCTTCAGCAAAGAGGGAAAACAATGAGATTTACTGACATACAGCTGTTAATGCAGTGTGTGTGTGTGTGTGTGTGTGTGTGTGTGTGTGTGTGTGTGTGTGTGTGCGTGTGTGTGTGTGTGTGTGTAATGGGTTTAATGTTTGACTCTTCATATTATGATAAAGTATTTCCAGAAGTTCCTTGGATTGTTTAATAAACCATCTTTTCTCAGGAGAGATTCTTTCTTTCTTTACAAACTGACTGTATAAATCTAATCCCTGGTCTTAATAATGATATTTAGTAAAGCAAATCTCATCACAGTTTTTTTTTTTTTACTTTAAGATAATTTTGCCTATTTAAGATGTATCCCTTAAATATAGCCGTTTTGTTTTGCAAAAGTTAAACATACATTTTCGTGTTTTTTTAGAAGATTTGGATGCGAAATATTAAAATAATTTGGTCACAAAATCCGACAGTTTGATCATCTGTGCGTCTTTTTACTGATCGTGTGTGGAATCTGCGCGGAGCGTGTTAGCATTAGCATTAGCGCTAGCGCTAGCAGCGTCCCTCGGTTGCTAAGCGACAGCGGCTCCGTCCTGTCCCATTTCCACATGAATAGATTTTCCGCGGAGGACACTTCAAACCCTTTGAATTGGGACACAGCCATTGACTTGAACGGGCGGCCATTTGAACCTGGGGTTTTAACGGCCAAACCCAAACATGGCGCTTCAGGGTGAACATCTTTTTAAATTATGGTGGACGGTCCGGCTCCAGAGAGGCGTTTATTGGATTGGTCGTGACACAAACCGAGGTAAGTGTGGTTAACAATGAGCTCACTTTGCGGACACGGACTTTCTATTATTTTATTAGCTAATTTTTATAAAGTGTTTTAATCAATATGTGGCCGCGTTAGCTTCCGTTACTGACAACAGCTGTAACGTGAGCGCAGACAAACTACAAATCTAACTACAGATCAACAGCTTTTTCTGTTTCACTTAGTCAGGATTCTACATCAAATTATACAGATAATAATATCAATTGTTTATTGCTCCAGTTAAGTTTGTTACTATAGAAAAAATAAACACTAAAGCAGTTGACTTAAATGAAGCCGACAACAATATGTGTATGTGTATTTAATTCAATATAGGCCTGTAAGATTAATCACAATCAAATTGAAATCTCAAAGGCAGCATATGTTTTCCTTAGGCTAAGATAATTTCCTCTACAAAC